CCCGGAACCTGAATCGCCCAAAAGGGTGACGAACCTCCAGTCCATCCAGACCGACGTGCTGGGCGATTACGGACCCGCACCTTGGGGCCTAGGGCTTCAGGCGTTCAGGGCTGAGGGATCAAGTATTTCCATGCGGGGCACGGTGCAGTCCTGCTTGTGTGAGCCAACTGCTGGTCTGTCTCTGTTCGGGCGTGGCCCGGTCTTGCTTGGTCCTTGAAGGTGGGCCGTGCTTGCAGAGTTGTCACGGTTCTTTGACAGCCGTTGCAAGATGTTTGCGTTCAGTCGCTCTAAGGTTTGTGCCGTGCGCTGCATTTTGTGCAGCACCGTCTTCAGGTGTTTCTGAACCTGTGCGGATATACTTGTTGGTGTTTTCCAAAGTTGCGTCATGATGACCACACATCCTTCAAAGTTCTCCGACCCAAGTGAGGAGAGACCTCTCAATACTGAGCCGTCGTACGCGTGATAATTTGTTGGCAGGCGATGCCCGTATTTGTCTTGAATGTGTACAGAAGAGAACGGTTGATTTTCTGCGAGGAGACGGCTGTCCAAGGCAAGCTTGTGTTTGTGCTTGAATTCCGCAAGTCGCCGTGCCTCGCATTTCCCGACTGTTGTGGCATGATGTTCATTCCTTCAAAGTTCTCTGACCACAGACGTGGAGAGACATCTCACCACTGAGCCACCAACTTGAGCCTGTTTAGGGCTTACACCACGTGACACATTGTAGGGAGGTTTGCTCGAAAGGTCGCCATGTCGTGAGCGTTGTTGGTTGGTGAGAGAGGCCGTTGCGGGCCAGTGGGCCAAGTTCGTTCGTAGGTCGTAGGGTTTGGGTACGTTGGGTACGTTGGGTACTTGGGTACTCGGGTCGGCACATTTGAAACTAAGAGCCTTAAAGTGAAGTGTCATCCGCATAGGTATCCGAGGAGCGGCCCACAAGAACTGCTTGCAACTGTGTGGTGTTTTGCTTCGAAACCGAAGCTTGAACCTTGCCTGCTGGTAAATGTTGTTTGGGAGACTTCGTCGGAAGGCCCGCCTGCGCTTTCAATTTCAGCCCCCCGGCCCGTTCCATCCGGCTTGGATCGAGTTTCACAGCTCGCGACGGATCTTGCGGGACTCGACATGGAGATCTTCTGGTGTCCTTGCTCCCTTGGATTCCCCCCTTCGTGATCGTCTCGGGTAAGATCTGGTATCTGGCCTCTGCTACTACTGGGCGAACGCGCTCTGACATCAAGACGCTGATGCCTGATGCTGTGTTTCTTTTGCAGGTCTCCACCTGTCTTCGTCAGCATAATGTCTTTCCGGTCAGCTTCCTTCTAAGCCATGTCAGAGGTGTGTTGTTTGCTCCCGTCAGAAAAGTCTGCAAAGCTTATCTTCCAAACCCCCCAGTTTCCAGAGGTTTCCTTCCCTCTTCCCTCTCGCGTTTGCAAACTTTCGCTCGGAGCGAAGGCTCTTTGTGCGCTTTGCGATGTCGTCGAGAGTTTCCAAGCTTAGAGCCCAGACCCTCAACCGGGAACGAAGCTTTACCGCGGGCGCTTGTTGGGAAATGGATTTCTCGAGCCTCCGTGCGTCCGGAAGCAGCGTTCCCAGCTCCTGGAGTTCATCCTAGCCCGTCGACTTCAACTCAGCCCTCCCTCAGTAGCATGTAGCCGCTTCTGAGGATCGTATTATCCTTATCGGATTTTGTTCAGGCTAGAGCAGGTTCGCTGCCGTTTAAGACGACCTTACCGAAAAGGCTATCGAACTGTAAACCTTACAAAACACCGGTGTCAGTCTTTAAACTACGTTGACCCCGCTCATGTTGCGTGCATCTAGACTTGGTGGTCTGCTGATGATGTACATGTTGCTGATTGGCATGTAGTTCTTTAACACGGTGTCTGTACTCGCAGTGTTTGCGTGTTTGTGTGGCCACGAACCTGTTATGAATATGGTTAATGACTTTGATGTAGAACAATGTCCCTATGCGCATACCAGGCTACTTTCGCATTGTGTGTTGCATTGATACCGACTGGCGATGCTGCTTATGTTCTGATTGTCAGCACATCATCAATGTCCGATGCGCTGGACTTTTTTACATTTTGCTCCAGGATACGGCGCGTTTGGACTCCCCTTCGGCAAGAAGATTGAGGACTGTTGCCGAGCTCCGCATTGGGGCAGGGATTCAAGATTTTTGTGGGGTGTGTCCTTTGTGAGGGTCCTGGTGGCAGGGTCGTAAAAAAGAGGTCTCAGGGCTTAAGTTCGAAAGGGTTTTTACCAAGCTGTTTTGGTTGACGGGTTTTGAAGTTTGCGGCTGCTCTAGGTGGCGAGGGCGCTGTTGAGGCGCCGGTGTGTGTTCTGAGGTTTGTCCGTTGAATTTACGCGGCTCCCCTTTCCAGAAGCAAAACTACCGAGCGTCTTGCAACAGAATCGAACCGAAGGTTGTTACTTCACCGTCTTTGACAGGAATGTGATTGGAGATTGAAAGATTGGCATTCTAGGGTCTCTGACCACGGTTGCAATGGACACCCCTTCTCCATCAGAGTTGCGATTACTACTACTACTACTACTACTACTACTACTACTACTACTACTACTACTACTACTACCACTACGACTACTACTACTACTACTGCTACTACTACTACTACTACTGCTACTACTACTGCTACTACTACTACTACTACGACTACTACTACTACTACTACTGCTACTACTACTGCTACTACTACTACTACTACTACTACTACTACTACTACTACTACTACTACTTGTCGTACAGTTGTTATGATGCCAACATGAGAATATGTTTTGGGAAGTGCCAGGACTCCGAGAAGAAGATGAAGAGCCTGAACGCCGAGATCAACAATGGCAGGCATGGCAGTTAAATGAGCTTGTATCCTATCCCCAAGACCACAGTCCACAGTTGCCCTAGAACAATCCGGCACTCTGTGTGCAAACATACCTTACTTCAAGGACCCCACTCAGCAATCCAGGCTGATTGAAAACAGAAAACAGCATAAGATCAACAAGCCTTACCCTGCGAAGTCAGGAATCCTAGAGTAATCCGCGGCCAAGTCGGTAATTAAGGCATCTTGACATTGAAGCCGGCGAGCCCACAAACCCCCAAAAATCCCAAACCCCAAACTCCAGACCCTAAGCCCTAAGCGTCATAACTGGGAAGGCTGGCGATGTTCGCGATCATCGGCACCTTGTCCAATGCCACCCCTACTACCCTCAGCACGATCTCAGCAAAGCGAAGCCCAGCCACCCCAAACGGGCGAGGGTTCAGGGTGGCTTCAGGGCTTGGAGTTTCGAGGGGTGCACAGGTCGTGTGGCGTATCCCTGAGTTCCTAGCCTCAGAAGCACTGAACCCTTCCCTCAACCCCAATCAAGACCAGAACTCGTGCCTCGGAAAGGGCTGGGTCTTGAGTTTACAACGCACGAAGCGGGCACTCGAAAGACGCTAGTGCGATGCCTCAAAGTCTTGAAGTCTAGTTGTTTAAGCAAAGGTTTTGGAATCCGAAAAGGCCAAGCATAGAACGCCCACTACATCGAGGCATGTTCTTCCAGGATGGCCTCACAGGATCCGCTTGGGGCCCCTTGGATCCGGGTTAAAGATGTCAGGTGGTTCCCGTTCCTCACAGTGTCGGCTTTATTGAGAGCTTGCAGGGGTCTCACCGGATGTTGTTTTCGGCTTTTTCCATCTTTCAGCTAGTCATAGGCAGTTCATGCTAACATTCCTGGAAACCTCCGCGGACAGCTGAGGCGACTGGGCCAACTACACGGAGTCGCCTCTCCGGGCCACCCGGCCCCTTGGACATTGCCGCAATGCAAACAATGCAAACCAACATGCGTGCGCCATAGATGTCGACGTCGCCTCTGGGCACCACATGTTGCGGATGAGCAAGATTTTTCCGCTGATGGCAGTGTAATCGTCATCGTGATCATGATAGCGGTGATTCCTATGATGATGATGATGATGATGGGGAGGAGGAGGAGGAGGAGGAGGAGGAGGAGGAGGAGGAGGAGGAGGAGGAGGAGGAGGAGGAGGGTGACGCCGGTGACGCCTGCGTCGCCGTGATGCTGGTGATGGTTGTAATGCTGGTGGTTTTGGTGATGATTGTGATAGAAATGATGATGCTGCTGATGATGATGAGGAGGAGGAGGAGGGTGAGGAATCGTGATGGTGAAGATGCCGATGCTGAGAAGCATGTCGATGGTGATGTTGGTTCTGGTGGGCTTCTCTTCCTTCTATTCACTTCTACTGGAACCGCGAGTACAGGTGCAGCCACAGGAGTAGCCCTGGAAGTTGGACAACGAGCTCGAGGATCAGTAGCAGTGGTCTTGGTCACAGTAGACCACTGCTGCCACTGCGTGTGTTTCCGTTTGTGGTATTACCTCTTCTAGCTTTTTGTCGGTTAAGCGCAACAAGCCTGGGGCAAGCTCTTGCACTCCTGGATGAATACAAAGCTCCAGGTGGGAGGACATTGCCTAAAACCCTGCCCAGAAAAGACCGCGCCACTTAAACCATATGCCCATAAATCAAAACTGCCTCCAGACCGAAAACCTACTCCACACGAGGTGATGGCACCCAGATCTCTGAGTCGAATCCTGACTTCCGCTGCGGAGTTTCAAAGACAGGTTCCGTGCGTTAAAACCCCGCGGAACAGGAAACGGCCGTGTGAGGAGGGCTCTAAGTGCTTCAGATGCATGCTGTTGCTTCTCGACGCCGCAACTCAAGCGTTCCGCAATATACTGAGATTATAAAGCCCAGAGCATACTGTGTAGCATGTCATCACAGTCGCAGAGCTTCTAGCACATAGAGCGAACCCTAGTTAGTTCGAAGCCCGAGACCAGACGCTCGTAGTCAATGAGGCTGATGGCAATTAGTAATTGGGTCTGCTTTTCGGGGGGGAGCACTCCCCAAGTCTAGCCCCTAAAGCCTCAATCACTTCGTCAAGCTTGGCACAACTCAAGAAGTACTCCTAGCAAGGGAACTTAGAGTGGCGGGGTCCATTGCTGCAGCCATGGCGATCTCGCCACTCAGCAGCACCTGCTTATGGGTTTGCTAGGGTCCTCAGGGTGTTCAGGTCTCGCTTGGGTTCTTCTTCCAATCATCCGAGTTCTTACCGAGACCATGTTCAGACGATTCCGTGGTCATCGCTGCACACCGGTACAAGCACTGCATAGTTTGCCAAGACTTCGTGGTAGCAAATCTGGCCGTTGCCCTATTTAGGATGCAGTGTGATGTAACGATGTAGCCCGTAAAGTGCACCAGTGGTTTGATGTTTGTCAGATTCCCTATGCCCTTTCGAGCGGTTTGCTACTGTTTGTCAGATGCTCCAGTCCCTTTCGAGCGGCTTGTTACCTCCTCGTCAGATTCTCTCGTCCCTTTCGAGCGTTTTGCTACCTGTTTGCCAGATTCTCTAGTCCTTTTCGAGCGGTCTGCTACCTGTTTGTCAGATTCTCTAGTCCCTTTCGAGCGGTTTGCTACCCGTTTGCTACCTGTTTGTCAGAGTCTCTAGTCCCTTGACGACGGTTTGCTACCTGTTCGTCAGATTCTCTAGGCCTTTTCGAGCGGTTTGCTACCTTTTTGAGATTCTCTGCTAGCTGTTTGTCAAATTCTTTAGTCCCTTTCGAGCGGTTTGCTACCTGCTTGTCAGATTCTCGCGTCTGCTGTAGTCCCTTTCGAGCGTTTTGCTACCTGTTTGACAGATTCTCTAGTCCATTCTAGTCTGTTTCGAGCGGTCTGCTACCTGTTTGTCAGATTCTCTGCTACCTGTCGAGCGGTTTGCTACCTGTCAGATTCTCTAGTCCCTTTCGAGCGGATTGCTACCTGTTCGTCAGATTCTATTGTCCATTCCGAGTGGTTTGCTACCTGTTTGTCAGATTCTCTGCTACCTGTCGGTTCGTCAGATTCTATAGTTCGTTCCGAGCGGTTTGCTACCTGTTTGTCAGATTCTCTAGGCCCCATACGCCGCCACAAAACCTTCTATCCCTACGGCTTCTAGACCACCCACGAAGCACATCAACCATCAACCTCCAGCTCCAAGCCTGGAGATAAAACCAGGGAGGCGAGCAGCAAGGAGAGGCTGCAGGAGGCGGACGCGTTTGAATTCGGGCAAGCCTTCTCAGCATGCAGACTTTGTGCGGTTAAGGAGCGGAAGGCTTAAGGCAAGACAGGTCAGGTTTCACCACACTGCCTGAAGTTTGAGGGTGCAGAGGTTCAGATTTCAGGCTCGAGACCTGTGAGACTGAACCATTTGTTTCAGCACGACATCTGTTTGCACGTTATTGAGAGCTCTTGCATAATTATGTGTGGATGATGATGACAGGTCTGATGCACCTCAGCACTCTAGCAGTCCACTCGCTAGAAGAGTTCTTTTAAGCGGCGTGTCCATGGAAAGGCCTTTCAGCACTTGCTCGCCGTCATCGGCAGCGAAGAGGCAGGGATCTAACCTCAACCTTCGTTGCTTTGTGTTGTAAATCGGGCACCCTTATCCGCATCATTTCACCGCTATAAGCCCCTGTTCCGGGGTCTCCATCTAGTCTTCGTCTGTTGACCACGCTTGAGTAGTGCGTCCGTTGCGTCTCGCTCGGGCGGTGGTCCCAACCCAAACCCTGAGCACCCCCAAAACGCTGAACACTAGATTCCCAAATCCTCAGCCATAAGGTTTCGGGCTTAGAGCACACGGGATTCACAGTGCAGCTTTAGAACGTCAGGGCTTGTTCACCATCTGACTTCAAGAGCAGCATCGTTCAAGGTTTGTTGTTGCTGAACTATCTCACAATCCCTAAAACCCTTAGACCGTAAACCCTGGTTGTTCAACTTTCAAGCCCTTGAAACCTACACCCCCGGCCCAAGGACTTCCGTCCTGGCCAGTTCAAAGTCACTGAAGTCTTTCCTCAGCTTGGGAAGCTCCCGCCAGGACCGGCTTGCCGCATCGTGGCGGAAAGTCGAGGCGGGCCATGGGGTCGAAAGACTGTTCTTTCCGGGTATGGGAGTCAAGGTTTAGGGATCTAAGGTCTAGGGTTCAATGTTTAGTTTAGCATTTAGTAGCTCAGTAGTCTAAGACTTATGTTGGAGGTTCAGTTGCATGAGGCTTGGGGTTTAGATTTCAAGACAATTGGAGTTTACTCTTGACGAGATCAGAATGTGTAGCTAGATGTACTGCGCGCGGGCTTCCGTGTGCTTGTCTTTTGGAGGCCCTTATGTAGGAGCTTGTTCAATGCTGAGGTGAATGCAAGGCAGATGAGTTCTCTGACTGCCCTTTGTATCCCTGACGGCGAAGCTCCAACTAACAACATGCACGCACAATCCAGCAAAGGCCATGTTGCGAAGTATTCATGAGCTTGTATTGCAACCGAAACAAAGCAAAACACTTGCAGGTGATACCCCGAACTCTAGGCACCTGTTCCGATCCGCACAGGAACAGAAGCAGGCGGCTGAAGACCAAACGCGGCTAGCGCAAAGCCCAGTGTTCGGAAGTGGCAGTGCTCGTTGCCAGTTTGAGATTCAAGATGATGAGGACGACATTGAAGAGCATGAGGCGGCGACTGCTAGTTTGAACTGCTAGTGTTATTCCTGCTGTATTTGTGTTGGTGTTGAAGTTGTTGTTGGCGGTGATGGTGGTGGCGGCGGCTTCGGTGGCGGCTGTGGTGGTCGTTTTGTGAAGGGTTCGCATGCTTATTAGTGAGAGTGTTTTTGAAAGGCATCTGGACTTGCAAGCATGCTCATGGTTGAAAATGGCGTTTGGCATATTCTCAGTGCTAATATTACTTACAGTATTACTGGACCCCGAGCCTTTCCGTGGATGCACGTGACGATTTATCTTCTAGGTCTCGCTGTTCTTACACTGTTTGCTACCGTCAGTCTTCTTTAACCCTGAGCCTTTCAGATTAAACCTGCGACACAGGAAGGGAGTTCGATTTACAGTGTGAGGTTTGGATGTTGGGGGCTTCCTTCTGCTAGGGCTCAAGGGTTGACAAGCTTAGTTCCTGTTTGCATCTTCGTAGGAACACCCTTTCTTTTCCCACCCGGCGGCTCCTCTCAGAAGCTCCAATGTCCCACACGTCGAAGAACCGACCTGTCACCTGACTCTGCGGGTTCTCTGCGCTTCCCCGAGGCAGCTGACATGATGCAACAGGCCCGCGCCATCTTAGAGGCAGCGAGCGGCGGGTTGAGGTCTGCCAGACGATTGTGAGAACTCTGGCTTTGGCATCAGGCCGCGCCGCCGGCGAAGCGGTTCCAGCCCTCAGGGCCCGTTAGGGACCAGGCGCGTCGTTGGGTTGAGGGTTCTAGGTTTAGGATTCCGGGGTTTCGGATTACCTAGGAGTTTGTGGAGTTTCAGTTTTGGGATTCGGGGTTTGGTGTTTGGGGTTTCGGATTCAGAGGCAAGGTTTCGTTGTTCAGTCTTGTTCAGTGCTAAAGGTGTAGTTGAAGCCTCGGGTTTGGGTGGCCACTACCCAAAGCCTTAAACCCTCAGCCCTATCGTAGAAGCACAGAAAGAGACGCTACAAGTCCAAGTGTGGGTGTCGGATGGGGGTAGCAGGGTTTAGACACTCAGACCATTTAGGGATGGTTCTCTGAAGTTCAGGGTAGGGTTTCGGCGCTCGCAGCTCGGAAAATCCAGGCGAGGTATGTGTCAACGGGTAGACTTGGTGAAACTAAGAACGAGAGAAACTGACCACCTTATCCAACGGCGTACACAGACTAACCTTTCTCAGCAGTACTTCGAAGCCAATTGATTCCCAAACTGTCGCGGCCTGAACCTCCTGAACCGTGAAGCCCATAACCCAGTGACACGCGGTTCCCGATAAGGGAAACGACAAACACGTCGACAGGCTGCCCCTCGCCTCAGACCTCGGATTCTGGGCCTAGGCAGCCGGGCAGGGAGACGGAAAAGATCCGGAATTGGAATGGGCATTGGGCCTCCAGGAGATTCCCGATAGCTTACTTGTGAGATCCTTGTGCATTTGTTGTCGTGTTGAAAGACCGACGAACCTTCGCCCTGAAAACAGGGTCTGCGTGGACTAAGGCTCGGTCAGGGTCTATGTTGGAGTCCCGCAGAATGGTAAAATCTAACCCCTTTACGGTCACTGTGCAGTTCACGTCGGATATCTTGTCGCGGGCATCGTCCTGGTGCTTCGAATCGACAGCAGCCTTTAGCAGCTTTAGGCTCCCAGACTTGCAACTCTGGTTTTTGAAGCCGGAAACCCTCAAGCGGAACGCCTAAATAAAGTTGCCAGCAAAGCCGTCGAAACCCAAGTACCCCAAGCCACAAAGCCCTCGACCCAGCCGAGCTTGGACGACTCCGGAACTTGGTCACACTTATTTGGTAGAGACTGAAACAGGGTAAGAAGGACCTTTCCGGTAGCTGCGATACTCTTCTTCCAAACCTGTGAAATTGAAACCTCAATCCTGGATACCCCCGCCCAAACCAAAGAGTCGAACATTCATCCCTAAACCCTCAACCCTGATCCATCAAACAGTTTAAGCAAAAACATCTAAACTTTCCTCCGTGGTTCGTTGTCTAATGCGAGCTCCAGCCCCTACCTCAGGCAGCCCGATGCGCCGACTGCCAGAGGACCAGACCGTGGACGAAGAGGAGGACGACGATCCAGGCCGGGGTGCAGAGACTCAGAAAGAAGGAAAACTGCTCAATCTTTAAACACAAGATAGTGGAGTTTCTGAGGGGAGTTTGCTTTTGACGGCTTCTGCAGGTGCTTGGTAAGAGGATTTCGGACTTTAGGATGTGGATTCGATGCTTGCTCTTCATCGGGGTTGTCCTCAACGTAGCCATACCCTGACCTGGTGAAACGGATGGAGCCAGATGCCATAGACCAAAATGCCGAGAACTTCAGCTGCAACAGTACAACAAGCATATCATTTTGATAAAGAAGAGCGAACCAGCCTCCTGCGACGCAAAGTTGAGAAACAGCAGCAGCAGCAAAACGTTTGACCGTAGGTAGAGACTATGACAACCAGGAGAATCTGACATCACAAGGGCCGAGCAGTCGAAACGGATCAGGACCAATGTGCAACATGAAGAACGCTCGAAAGGCGAACAGGGAATTCGACGAAGAGGAGAATCTGACAACACCCGAACCAGTCGAAAAGGACCAAACAGGGTGAGTTCAAGGCACTGGAGAGAGAATCTTCCAACACGGACGAGAGAAGTTTCTAAACATGTAGCCAAGCTCGAACCGGACCGCAGAGTTTGGCAACGACGAGAACCTGACCTACTATGAGAAACTATGAGCAACGCAGTCGACAGGGACTGGCCAAAGTTGAGAAACAGCAGCGAACCACTGGAAAAAGACTAGACATTTTACGAAGAGGAGAACCTGACAACAGAAAATTGAGCCAGCCGAAAGTGGCGTTGAGTAACAGGAGCAAACCGCTCAAAAGGAACTAGCGAGTTTGACAAAGAGGAGACTTTGAACAAATAAGAGCGATCCAATCGAAAGGTACTACCAAAATTGAGAAAACAGGAGCAAGCCGCTCGAAAGAAATTAGAGAGTTCAAGAAGGAGAAAAGGGAAAAAGCTCGAAACGGACTGGAGAATGTGACAAAGAGTGGCAGTTGATTTCATAGTAGAAATGCGATTCTGTCGCAAGGGATTGAATGGCGAGTTTCACATACAGCAGAGTTCGACACACGAGCGAACCAGTCGAAAGGAACAGGATAAGTTGATAAACATGGAGCAGATCGCTCGAAAGCAGCTAGAAGGTTTGAGAGGAGAATCTAGCGGCAGAACAAAGAACCAGCCGAAAGGGACCAAGGCGTTTGACGCAGAGGAGTACGAAAACAAAAGAAGCGCGAGCTAGTCGAGAAGGGTGAGAACTAAATAGAAGCGGGAGCAAACCGACAAAAGCGACAAGGGACGGGAAAAGTTGAAAAGCAAGAGCAAGCCGTTCGAACAGGTCGACAGGACTAGACAAGTTTAGAAAAGGATGCAAACCGCTCGAATGACGTGGAAAACCTAATAGAAGAAGAGCGAGCCAATCGGGCAAAGCTGAGAAAAGAGAGCGATGCAGTCGAGAAGGATTTAAAAAGGCCAGGGACAAAAGCTAGCTGCCCAAAAGGGATTCGAGAAGTTGATAAAGAACAGAACTAACCAAAGAAAGCGAACCAGTCGAACTTGACTACACAAGTTGAGAAGCAGGAGCACATTTTCAACAGGGGCGGAAAAGTTGAGAAGCAGGAGCAGACCAAAAAACCTGGCAAACATTCATGAGCGGACCAGTCGAAAGAGACTCGAACAGTTACATGAGCTAAACCGCTGCAACGGGGCTAGTGAGGTTGACAAAGAGCTGTTTCTGACAAAACAAAAGCAAACCAGTCGACAGTGCCCGGATAAGTACAGCAACGACAGCAGCCTGCTCAAAACGGGCCTGCGACTTTAAAAAAAAGGAGACTTTGTACAAAGGAGAGCGAATCAGTCGAACGGGATTAGACAGCTTGAGAAACAGGAGCACGCCGCTCGAAAGGGACTAGAGGCTCTTTATCTGAAAAAACAACAAGGCGCACGAGTCGAAAGGAACAAGCAAGTTTAGACACTGGAGCAGGCCACCCTAAAGCAACCACAGACGTCGACAAGGCGGACAACAAAGATGAGACTTTGGCCAAATAACAGTTGAGAAACAAGACCAAGCCGCTTGAAAGGAACTATCCTGTAGACTTTGACAAGGAGGAGGATCGGACGAACGAGGAGCAAACACGTCGACAGGGATTAGAAAAGTTGAGAAACAGCAGCAACCCGCTCGAAAGAGACTCAAAAAATCACAGAAAAGAGAAGCTGTCAACAGATTAGCGAACCAGTCGAAAGGGACTTGGAAAAGTTGAGAAACAGTAGCACATTGCTCGAAAGACAGGCCAAGTTGAGAAAAAAGAGCAAACCGCTCGAAAGAGGCCATGGAATTTGCCAATAAGCCGCCCGGAATGGCAACAATGGCGCGAACGAATCGAGCGGCACTAGAAAAGTCGAGAAACAGGAGCAAACCGCTATAGAGTGACTAAAGACTTTGAAAAGGGACTCTGAGTCGAAAGGGACTAGATAAGGGGCAAACCGCTAGAATCGGACTGGAATTTGACGGAGTAGAATCTGTATGGTGGGAAAAACAAGTTCAGGAAATTTACAGGAGAGACAACCATGATTCGAAAGCCAGCCTCGACGCTGAAACCTGAAACCTTGAATGCCCCGCGCAGGTCAGCTCCGCAGCACGCAGGAGACCTGGTTCGAAAGCTTCGGTCGAAGGGCCAAAAGCGGATGAAAGGTTCAGTGTAACCGGTGTAATGCAGGTTTCCGCTCTGATATCTTTTATTATGGTGCAAATACCGAGGGAGTGCAAACAGACATATTTTCTAACTGTGAGGTTCTGTGAGGTTCAGGCTTTGGGGTTTCAGATTTGAACAAAACTAGCTGCTTTACGTCGGCCGAGCCCTGTCCAAAGTAATTTAGCGTGCCGTTAGAAGTTTTGATTTTTCACGCCCACGCGAAGGCCACACGGAACCGCCACCGTGCAGGTTTGCTGTCACCTCTTCAACCCACAGAGTCCGATACCTGGTAGTCACGGCATACACCTTAAACCTCCCAAGAACTTAAATCCCGAAATCCTTGCCCCTTCTCCCAGAGTGGAGGTTCTCACCGCACCCTGGGCAAATAAAGATCTTGTGGCCGCATGGTGCGAAAACCTCGCAATGCCACAATCCACGGAAACCTCGCCAGAGACTAACCGCTAAAGAACGAAACGCATATTGGACAGGAGTATACGTCGACGGCCATGTCTGTTGCTCCGCTGCCGCTGCCTCGGTGTGAAGCTTTAGCTTGAAAAAATCTGGGCTGGAGGGCTAGCGGTCCTGATTTACAGGGTTTCGTTTCGGGTTTAGTGCCCAGGACTTTTTTGTCATGGAGCTACATGTGCGACATTTTGGTGTAGCAGGTCAATCTACATTCATCTAATTTGGATTGCCACCTCATGCAGTGCTTACACAACCGACGGGGACCAGGCATGTTCGATACGAGGCAGGGTGTTTAAGTGGGACTTGAAGATCAAGCGTAGATTGTTGATGCGGAGTTTGGCAAGCTTGTAAGAGGCATGTATAAGAAGTAAGGCTCATTGATTTTTGCTCATCGGTGAAGTGTTAACACTCAAACCTCAAAAAGCATGTCACTCAGACCTTCCCACGCCTCACATCGCAGAGCCGCAGAACCTTATAGCTCTCCAGCTCCCCAGCCAAAGAATGGCCCTTGTAAGCCAGACAATCCTCAGCCGTTGAGTCAGGTCTGGGGCTTAGTGTTCAGAGTTTCGGACTTAGGGCCTGATGTGCGGACTGAGTCATTAGTAAGGACCATATGCCCTGAACCGTCGATTATTGCAATGATGATACACCCTTATTCCCGAGTCCAACTATCCAGGCTTTTATATTAGCCCCATCTGGTGTCCGACGCTCCTCTCCTTTCGTGCCGGAAAGCTTTTACATCCTCAAGTGCAAGATCCGACGCTATTGATTCATCCTTCCACTCCGAGAACCTCGCCCCCAAAGTCCCCAAGTTTGTTTTCCCACAAGAACCCCTCATTGGAAGTTTTCAGGTCTCCCATCAAGGAGGTGGAATCTCCCCAACAGGGACGGATCTCGGTGGGGCGCCCGGGGGTCCAAGGTTCAATTCAGGGTTTAGGTTTCGGCTTCAAGGTTTCGAAACCTCCGAGAAGTTTGAGACTGGCGTAGACCTGAATGAGAAGCTGAAGGCATCTGGTTTTTGGGCAGGGTCGTTTGTTTCCAAAGGCTAGTGCTAAGCCTCAGAACTCGAACCCCGACGCCCAAAAGGCTGTGGGGAAGCCTCCAAACTATATACACGTAGAGACTCCGAGCCTCCAGCTCCGCAGCTTGGGGGTTGCGGGCTTTTGCCTCAGTTTTAAGCGGAAACTTCCCAAAGGCCACGGGAGCCCAAACCCTCGAAGAAGGATCGCGCCATTTCCACGCCCTGCATGTGTTTCGCAACAGGAAACAGACCAACGGCAGAAAACCGTTGCAAGTACTGTGCAAGATCCTTGCCGCAAACTTTCAGGTGAACGTTTTAGGGCAAGGGTCTATGATGGACGTAGCGTGCAGGAGGGATTCAGCTGGCTAGGTTTTGCGGCTCAGATGGTAGGGACACGCCCGGAAGGCAAACTGCCTGGACAAGCCCACCATGGTTTTTGGTCCCAAGCGCTCAAACCCTGAAAGGGCCAAGTTTTACCACCAAGAACCTCAAGTCGCCACCCTTCAGCTCGACTGCAACCCGAACCCCCACCGCGGCGAGTTTAGGCTCCAAGATTAGCATTGTGGCGGTCTGCGTTTCCCGATACAAGTTACTACAATGTACCCAGAATCAGTTTTCTGCTTGTCAAAGCCGCTGTAAAAGGATAGGAGTAGGAAGAACACGACATCCTCGCTCAGGGGCCGAAGTCGATGACACTGGCAGGCGCGGGGTCCACCGGCTTCGGGTGTCTCACTCGATTACCCTCTCTTCAAGGTCTAGACTCAGACCAATCCATGAAGACCCTCTAAAACCCACACCCGAAAATCTACAAAATCTAGATTCCCCTTAACCCAACTCCCAATCTCCCCCACTCCTCTCTCCGCTGCCCGCTCCACCAGAGTCGGAAGCCGCCTCCACACTGGCCT